CAGTGATACATGCAGGTTGGTTGGGGGACCTTGAGAAGGGGTCCCACAGGACTAGCCAGGAGGGTCTTGACTTAAGGCAGGATGGAAATCAAACATGAGCCAGCAGTAAGTAAAAGGAGAGTTTATTGAAGATACATAGAGAGATGAGGACACATCCCGGAGACTCAGAAAGGAAAAGAGCCTGAGCCTTGTTTTTGCTGGAGTTTTTATTGGGGATTGTGGTCTGGTGCATATGTCCTTTTATACATCCAAGAAATGGTCAGAACAAGGACAGGGTCCAGGTGTCCCTCATAAGTCACTCATTCCCTGAAGCCAGGGGTCTTGGTGTCAAGGTGTTTGGAGTTAGTGGTCTGGGAGAACATTTATGACGACCTTGCCCAGTCACTCCTTAGATGTTAACTATTGTGCTGGAAAACTCCAACAATAGCATTATCTTTTTGAACTTTACAAGGAGGACTTGTGCTTTGCATTACAACGCATGTGTAGAGTGGGGTGGGCGTGCATGCCCTAGCAATAACAGAAGCTGGAGCAAAGGGGAAAAAATGGCTTTTTTTAATGGGGTCCCTTCAGTTTCCCTATCTCAACAGGAAGCAGATATTCCCAGCTCAAAGGGTATTTACAGAAGATGGAGACTTGACTGTAAAGGAAATTCATGCACTCTTTCAACATGCCCAATTTGTGCTAGAATTTGGAGAATGGCCATAAGATCAGGATCAGAAAACAGTTTTTGTAATAACATTCTGTGAGAATACAGTCACATTTTATTTGTTTAAATATTGTTTATGGCTATTTTTATGCTTTAGTGACAGAAATGGGTCATTGCAACAGATTGTATGGCCCACAAATATTTACTTTCTGGCTCTTAAGGAAAAAGCTTGCCTTACCCTGACTAGAAAAAGATCACTGCTTAGGGGTACTGCCTATAAGGGGACAAAATGAGCAGATGTAGCAAATAGTCTGGTCTGGACACAATCAAGGGTGCCTCAATCATGACACCTCTCAGTATTTTCTCAGAGTAGTAGACTAGGACACTATGGATCAAGAGGAAGACACTGAGACACTTTACTTACATTTTTCATCCCTAAAATGGGACGGAGCCAAATCTAATGGAGGAAGATCTTCCTGAAAAAAAGAAACAAAGACACTAAAAGAAGAAAAATTAGAAAAAAAAAAAAAAAGTTAGTTACAGTCCTGAGGCATTATGACTTAATCAAAATTTGGGACCCACCAATATGACATGTATTGATAAAACAGAAGTTTATTTTGAAAAGGGAGAGATTACAATAAGTTCCTAATGTCCCTTGTGAAAAGGCCATTGAAATAAGAGAGAAAACCAAGAAGAATATTGAGAAATCACAAAAGCTTATGTGCAAATTGGCAACTCCTACTGGCAGAACATCAAATCCTCAATGTGCTTTAAAAAAGTTGTCAAAAGGCAGAGAATGTTCTGGGGCACCTGGGTGGCTCAGTTGGTTAAGCGTCTGCCTTCGGCTCAGGTCATGATCCTGGGGTCCTGGGATTGAGCCCTGCTTAGTGGGGAGTCTGCTTCTCCCTCTCCCTTTGCCCCTCCCCCTGCTTGTGCGCTCTCTCTCATGTGCGCTCTCTGTCTCTCTCAAATAAATAAATAAAATTTTTTTGAGACAGAGAATGCCCGGAAGAAAAAGAATGACTGGTTTATGTCAATCTTGTCTAGATTTTGGAAGACAATGAATGTTTTCAGAAAGGTCATGAACATGAAATATTAACACCAGAATCCACAAGATGTATAATAGTCAAGCCACAGGCACTGAAAGACTAGGAAGTATGTTCTCGTCTAGTGCCCACCCATTGTCATGGATATATTCCAGAAGACTCTAGACTTGGACTTTAGCTATAAAGAAGCAGCAGATGATGATCAGTAATAATTGATGTAACAATAAAATTTGACATGACAATTTTCAGGATGAGTCATGGCTGGCCCCAAGGTCCAGCAAATAATGGGTATCCTAACCAATGGGGTCCTCTTGGCACAAATGCAGAATAACTCCTAGTATTCAGTGAGTAAAGAAAGATCCTGTAATTGAAGAAGATCCAAAAGCTGATCACAATTTGGGAATGCCATGTTCAGCTTATTTTCCATTCCTGTCATACATATATGAAATATGGAAAAAGATGCTGGGCTACAATGAACAGCAAGGAGTAAACAGGAAAGAAGGGGAGAAGGGAAAACAAATTTGAACTGTATAATTATAAATATCTATGTGTGCGATGTAGTCTTTGTACAGCAGCTATCTGAGGGCCCTCTCAATACCCTCAAGGGCTCTTTAAGGTTGTCATTTGAGTCCCATATCTCCTCCCAACAGCATCCCTCCTTTCTGAGCTATCATAGCTACTCTTTGTCATAGTTGGTTACTGGCAAGGGAATGGGGGAGGGCCATAGTTGATAAGTATGTATGTATAAAGGTGGGAAGTGGTTCTCTCCAACCTTAGGTCCTAATAGTCCTTCTCATATTGCTTGCTTCATTCTCCTTTTCTCCAAGAAAACAAACCATTATGGCAATTCTGAGAGAGAGAGGGGTACCTACAAGTGTGGGACCTACAGGAGATACTACACAGGTAGATGAATGTGTCTTAAGTAAAACTTGTTTGAAGGGCAGTGGTGTGAGAAAAATAAGGCGAATTCATAATTTATTCTACAGAATCCAACAGTAAAATAAACTAGTTCCCAATGTTTCTTAGAGTTAAGAAGAATGAGAGATCACTAGGAGAAGGAGAATCTTTTATTTGGTGCAGTTGAAAAGACATTAATAACCTCCTAATGGCATGGGTTACTGTACTTATTTAAATACTTAGTTCAAATTTGAGCCATGCGACATCAATTAAAATATACAGTAATGAGTATAATTTGCAGTCCCACACTGAAGGTATAAAAATGGTATAGTTTTTCATTTTTAAAAAATGGAATCAAATTGGACACCTACCAGATTTGATGGAAAATCTTGGTTCCCTTATTTGCAGATTTGTCTTCACTCTTCCTAGGGGTCTGCAAATTTTTGGAGGCTTCTTGGTATCCACGAAAGAGGTCTGTGAGGTGAAGATGAACTCTCTTGCTCCCCCTTGCCCCAGCGTCTATGGCCATTCGAGGGCAGGTGGCTTCCCTGGCAGCAGCCTCTCCTTCCCATTGTCTAGTCCCCAAACACACCCGCAAAGCCACTTTTGGTTTGCCTGGGATCTTCAGTGGAGCCAGTTGCCGAGGATACATTCTTTCATTCTCTCAGTCTTACGGAAAGCAGTTTCAGAACCTGGTTCACACGGCTTTTCCTTCAACCCTTGGAGGCCTCTTCCTTATTTTCCGTTAGCATACTGTGCTGCTCTAGGGAAGGCAGACTGTCTTTTTCCTCTCCCTTTCTAAGTTCTAGGGCAAAGGCCTGTAACAAAAGACAGATTAACAAGATAAAAGCATAATTTTTTTTCTTTTAAACACAAGTTTTACATGAGAGAGGAAACTTCAAAAGGAAATGAAGACCCAAAGAAGCAGTCATACCTGAGTTTTTAATGCTAGGCTTGATGAAGAGTGGGCGTTTGTGGGAAAATGTGACAAGGTAACAAAGGGTCTGAGCTAAGTGTAGTGAACTAGGGGAAACAGTAAGGCCTATTTCCTTGCATTCCTCTTAGTGTCTTGGAGATGAATATGTATAGGGAGGGCACCTCTCACATGAGGGTTTCATGACCTGCTTAGGGGAAGGTCAGAAAGTTCTTCTTGCACATGCCATTTCTCAACTTCCCTCAGCTTAAAATATTCACTATGCCAAGGTGCCATATTTTAGTGTAGTGTGTGTAGTCCTGCACCCCATCACTGCCAAGAACATCAGTTTTTAATAACTTAGTTATCATTTTTCTGGCATAAGAGAAGCCAAGGCTTAAAGTTCTGCTTATCTTTCATGTTATACAGATCCAATGGGACTAAGGTGGAGAGTGGTAAACTATCTCTTTATTCTTGTGGGGTTTTATAAAATACATTTTCTGGATACTCTAATCTGCCACATTACGTACTGCCGATTGAATTCTCAGATAATGCCATTTGATGTGCTTTGAGACTTTGTAAACAAACAACAAAGTAAGAGGAATGTAGTGAAAGGAGATGGGGAACCATACTTTTGTCTGGCATGGGACAAGATAATTGAGTTTACAGTTCTGCTTTTCTCTCATATTGAACACACTTTCAAAATGACTTTCTAAATATAAGCAGCCCGCTATGTATTTGTCTGTAAAAGCATCAGCAATGAAAAAACAAGACAAGACAATGGAAGCAGAGATCTGGGTGATTGGCTCCTCATGCTGGGTCATTGATGGGGCTGACACGCACCGAACATGTTTAGTCTTCGAACATGGATTGGTTTGCTAATAAAACTGCATTTGTTACTGTCAAGGGAGAGTTGTAAGATAGACAAATCTACTAAAATTCTGATTTATTTGACTAAGACATAAATACAGAGAACAATCTGCCTGCATATATATTAATATGTGTATAGAGATATAGAGTGAAAAAATGTATAAATCCAATATGTCTACTTCAGATATGTAAATACTCATTTAGATATTTTTTATTTGCCTTATTTATAACACCAGTTACTGCAGAGGGTTAGTATGTACCTAGACTCTGGTAACCTTCTGGTATGACTAGATGGGCTGATGATACACTTCCTATAAAAATTCTGTTTTTAACTTTTTTCTATTGCCTTCATCTATTTATGACTGGGAATAGCTGCTAATTTAGATTTCCTCATGGAACACAATAAATAATGAGAGATCTCAACAAAAGTCTCTATAAATGTAAATTATATTTTAAAATATAAAAGATTATTTTTCTGAAAACTTGCTATTATCCTTGGAAAGAATTATGTTATTTAGTATCCTTATTGGAGTTAATTATATTAATTATTTGTACTGGATTAACAATGCCAAATGGAAGAAGGTTAATTAATTGAATAAGCATTTTTTTTCATTTCTTTCTGTTTCAGTTGATTTATCTTTAGTGAATAAGGATGAAAACGCCATCTATTTCTTGGGAAATTCTCTTGGCCTTCAACCAAAAATGGTTAAAACATATCTGGAAGAAGAACTAGATAAGTGGGCCAAAATGTAAGTATTATTTCAAAAGCTATCATTTGACATCTCATACAAGAACTTTTTTTTTTCCTCCAAATTTTTATTTAAAGTCAAGTTAGTTAACATGCAGTGCAGTATTGGTTTCTGGTGTGAAATTTAGTGATTCATCACTTAACATTCAGCACCCAGTACTCTTCACAACAAGTGCCCGCCTTAATCCCCATCACCTATTTAACCCATTTCCCCACCCACCTCCTCTCCAACAACTCTCAGTTTGTTCTCTATAGTTAAGAGTCTGTTTCTTGGTTTGCTTTTCTTTTTTTCCTCTGATGTTCATTTGTTTTGTTTCTTAAATTCCACATATGAGTGAAATCATATATTTGTTTTTCTCTGACTGACTTATTTCGCTTAGCATAATACTCTCTAGTTCCATCCACATCGTTGCAGATGGCAAGATTTCATTCTTTTTGATGGCTGAGTAATATTCCTTTATATATATATATCACATCTTCTTTATCCATTCATCAGTCGATGGACATTTGGGCTCTTGCCATAATTGGCTACTGTTGGTAATGCTGCTATAAACATTGGGTTGCATGTATCCCTTCAAATCATTAAGAACTTTAAAAATCACACTAGGTTGTCTAATACTTGGAGAGGTGTACAATAGGCTCCTAGAAGTTTAGGACATAGAGGAACCTTAAGAATCATGTCATTCAATACTCTCATTTTATTGATAACAAAACTGAGGATCAGTAAATAAAGTCATATGGCAAGTTAGTGACAAAGTCAAGAGTAAACTTTCACAGTATTAGAAAAAATAAGTCCCTCTTCCAATCTAAATCATATGTAATCATTTTATTTTATTTATTTAATGGCTAATAAGAGAGTTAACATTTAGAATTTAATTCAGTGTTTTCATGAGTTGTTCTTGCTAAACTCTGTTACACTAATTTTTATAAATAAGGAAACAAATTTGTTGAGGGGGAGAAAAAGATGAGTGGAGCAGAAGGTACTGCCCTCTCCAGACTGAGTGTGCTTATTGAGAAGATACTCCATTTGGGCTTAGCTAAACAGGTTTGCTCCAACCATGCAAGAATCTGAAATCTTAAATACATTTTTTTCTCCATCTCTTCTGTTCTACTTTTACTCTTCTGCCTAAGAAACCCCCCACACTCCCTGCTTCTCTGGATGCTTACCTTCCTTAATCCCAACCTTCTCAACCATGCTGATGATCTCTCCCTAACTGCCCATTGTATTAATCACTGCTGGGGGATGGGCAGTTTAGAGGTATCTGTTTTCATTAGCTTCATATTCTCAACCATATTATAAATCCCTATAGGAAAATAACTTAATTTTATGTGCTTTTATCCTTCCTTGGTAGTTACTACTAAAGCTGAAACTAGAAATATTTAAAAAAAATACTTTTAACTATTATATATTAATATCACTTTAAATTTTTTTAATATTTAAAATATTAAAAATAAGCATATCATCTACCTAAA